CCCCAAAACCCCAAAACCCCAAAACCCCGTGATGAATTAAATTGAGAATTTTTCAAAATTTTAAATTAATCAAAATATGAAAAAGTTGTATACTATCGATATTTTTGTGATCTTAATTTCCTTATTTATCTTGACTCCCACTACCTTTCAAGATGTTCTTGACAAAACGAACTATGATGGAGTCACATCAAGTTACAACTAATATCCTAGATTTTATGGTGGCTAAGGTATTTATCTTTAAAATACTATTTCCAACGTTAATAACTACACACTAACTCTATGGATGAAATTAAGTGATTATCCATGGGAAATAAGGAAAGACTTTGATATTATTTCTTTTGCTCCTGACAGCTTATCAATTAGCTTAAATCGTAACAAAGATCTTACTGCCATTAGTGATAGAGGGGGACAACTGAGAATTAGTGGAGAGCAATAAGTTAACAATTGGTATATCATAATTCTGAGATCATCATAAGTTAAGTCAGATTTCTAAATCAGAGATTAGCTGTTCATCAGAGTTTCCCAAGATTCTTCGACTAGCTTTTTTCCAACGGGTTAAACTTCATTAAATTTAGAGTAAACCGTCATTGGAATAGATAAAGACAGGAAGAGCAATGGCTTTATGGGTAATATTAGAAACATAAAGTTGCTAAGTTTATACCTCGATGATTCATAAACTTAAAGAATACAATTTACAAAGTTGCTTCCAATGAGAGACTTGAAATTATAACTTTCACTATTTGATGTTAACAGCATTTCCAATGAAGCTGATAGAGCAGTAGGAGAACTAATAAGAACTAGTAACATAGGTCCAACTAACTAAATTGACTATCTAGGGAGTTTAGATTGCAGTGTTCCGCAAAATGGGAATGTATAAATAGTAAAATTTAGCTAAGGGAAAGGACTTGCATAAATCTCAATTCCTACTAATCTATTCACTCCAGCAACTCATGTTAACACAACACTTTAGATGTGGTTTAAGAGAAATGCATACCCAATGATAAATACTTTGACTCATCCAGTAGAAGAACTATTCATTCACTAAAACGTCACTAGCATGACTTTCCAAATGAATGATTATCAAAATATGAAGATAGCTGGTAGAGATGGTAAAGCTATTACAACTAAAACTGCTTTTAATAGATGGATGTATCTACAAGTCATATCTACTAATTTATAGTTGATTGCAACAATTTATGATTACGATGGGGTTCTCACTTCAACAAATACACTTACTTATTCTAAATCATATACTACTAACTCAAGAATCATTAATTTAGCAACAAATTTCAATGGATTTATCTATGCATTCAAGCTATTCAAAACAGCAGTACCTCCTACTAATGGAATATATAATATGGATTATAGAGTTGAAATTAATTCAAATGCACTACTTTATTTCATTTTTACAACAGTTGGATTAGCTTAAGACTCCTCATTTCAAAACTTGGTAAATCAAGGAACCAGTTTAACAGTTTAGACTACTGGAACTAGAGTATATGCAAGTGAATTTCTAACATAAATGGGAACAACTTATACTAATATGAGCATCAATTATCCCAATTATTTCAATGGCTTTACTTGTACAGACTAATATGAAAAATTATTCATGACTGATGATTCTAGTTATGCTGTTACAAATTTTACTTTGAATTCAACATTGTCCAGTTATACTGTTGAATTTTGGGTGAGACCAACTTAAACTATCTCAGGGAGCCCCTTTTTCTTAGCTTTATAAGATACCACTAGATAGAAGCAAATCTTTTTAAGTATTATTTAAGAAGGCACTAACCTCTATTGCTATCCATTTTATACATAAAATGTTACTTTAAAACTTGATTATCTGGATTACTTAAATAATATACAGGATTGGATACATATAGTTTGTGGATTAAATGGCTAATAAAGTAGCATTTAAGGCTAGCTTTACTATAAAACTAATGATTTTACTTACTTCGCAGATTTACCTTCTACATCCCAGTAAAATTTACTTTAAAATTAATACCAACTGTATTTGAGCTAAAACCCTTTGATCATGCGCAATGGAATACCTAAGTCTTATTTTAGTGAAGTAAGGTTCTGGGACTATCTTAGAGATCAATATCAAATCAGATCTTAGAGATTCATGAGACTCAATATTACACTTGAGAGATAAAATCTTTACTCTTATATGAAACTAGCATATTCAAACTATGGAGGGGTTGTCAATGAAATTGATTTTGCTGATGGTAGTTTACAAAAAGAGATATAGTTTAAAAATGTCAAATGGCAATAAAGTAAAGATTTGCTAATTTGTCCTGAGGGATATTACAGAGGAGAAATAAAAGATTATAATTGCTATTTAGATGGGATAATTAACCTTGATTTATCAATTTACAAGTTCTAGAATCGTTACATTGTCACACCTAAATATTCAACTTTCCGTAATTCATTCGTTAGAGAGAATGTTGGTAATTTATATGATTTTTCCTGGACTCTTGATAGTACTGACACATCAAATGCAACGAATACTAAGATTTTTCCATCATATTTTAATCCATAATCTAAAAACTAAGAATTAAGCTTTGATTACGATATGGTAACTGATAGACCTGCTAAATATGATTTCACATTAAAAGTATCAGATAAGAACAACAGGCAAAAATCTTAGAAATAATCAGTTTCACTTAAAACTTATCGTTGTGCTAATATCTTTGATTCGACAACAAAGTAATCATTGGTCTTTATGGATATGTAATCAACCAAGACAGTTGAAAATGCAGTATTTCAATATGAATACAGTGATTGCTCTGATTACTAGCTAGATTAATCAGCTATGTCATTCAGTATTGATATATCTGGTGTTACCTTACTTTCAAGTGATCATAACAGAGAAGCTAAAACTTTTACCTTAAGAAAGTAACAATAATCAAATATTCCATCAAATGATTACTTCTATATAAGAATAAAAGGTGTCTGGAGAAGTTCAATAAATAGAAACAATATTATTGAATATAATTTAATCTATGCTTGTAGATATATTGCCAAGCTCATAATCACTCTTACTCCATCATATAACATTGTAGCTTTAGGCTAAACTTTATCGATTGATTAGCAAGCCAAATTTTACAATCTCAATAAAGCAGTTGAGAATAGAGATTACTCTGGCTATTGGACTTGTCCGGGAAAGCTCTTTGATTTCTGTAGATCTTAAACTACTACTTCTCTTAAACTAAACTATGATTAAGTAGTAAATAGTGGCATAGAATTATGGAAATCTTAAAATATTTCATATACAGCTAATTTAAAGTTCATTTAAGGAGATGGAACTCGAATGAGTTCTGCAAATGTTTTTATAACTTGGATGAACCTTAGACCAAGTGCAAATTTGACTCAAATTAATAAGAGCATAATAGCTAATAGATTAATTACCTATTAGCTGGATATAGCTTCAATGACAGAAGATCAAATCTCTATAAAATGGTCTACCTCTCCTCAAATTAGCAATAATTGCTTGATAAATGGAATTGATAGGAAATAGTTTGTTTTCAATAGTTCTTGCTTGAGTTCAAGTACAAACTACACCTTATAAGCAGATGTTTACTTTAAAAATCAAACTTAATTGCTTGTAACTCGCAGTACTAAAATGTACATTTAATCAGGACCCACTGGTGGAAAATTTACTTGCTCACCTACATCCGGTAAAGCTTACTAGGATGACGTTAAATGCACTTCAACTGGTTGGTAGTCAGATTAATTACCACTCAGATATTAGTATTTCGCCACTGATAATTTGAATAACTTGGTTGCACTCTCTGCTTTATCAATTTTCCCTGACATTCAATTCAATACACCTCCTACTAATAGAATAACAATAAAAGTTGTTGATTTAGAGGGTAAATCTACAACATCATTCATTACGGCATCATTTACTCACTAGTCGTCTTAGAACAATCAGACACTCAATAAAATTAAGCAAGTGATTGCCAGAAATAATCCATAGGTCTTAAACACCAACCTGGTGGCTGATCTGCAATCAGCAGCATTCCTATTAAATATGAACTAAAACTCAATTGACTCAGAAAATGCAGATTAACTTATGAATGATTTAGTTCAAATGGTACATTCATAATCATTAAGTTTAAGCAGCTTTAATAGTTCAGACTAGAAGTAATACTTCATTCAAGGGGCTTTGCAAATATTTATACAGTTATCAAATTATTCCAAGTCGTTCTAAATAGATAGTCTGAGCATGATCTAGGAATCAATCAAATCATTTTTAAACTAAACATAATTGTAAGAGATGATTAATGACCAGGAGTTTAATGAAAATTTTATGCAAATTTAAGCAAATATACTATAAAATCTCTATAATTACCAACTCAAAGGTGCTTTTGTAGATTTATCAAATTCCTAAGCTGATAAGCTAGCAAGTATTTCTTCTTAAATGAGGTCAATAATTGATAGGTATGATAAAATGATAGCAAGTCAACTTAGTGAGGGCTAAGTAGTTAAAATTGTTAATAATGCTTTCAACATGACATTATAGAAATTTTCTAGACTTGCTAATTTGCTTTATGATATAAATTCATTTGACAGTAATATGCTATAATATCAATATCCTTTGTCAAGTGCGCTCCAACCTACTGAGAGATAAACTCTTACAGTAATTAACTTTGATATAAGTCCATTTATTGGAAGTAAATTCTTCAATCAATCAGCTATCTCAAACAACTCAATTTACTTTTCCTATCGAGATATGAATGGTAATTATCTTAGTGGTGATAATATCCTAGGAAAGATTTAAATGGTCTTTAAATATTAGTATAGTCCATTAAATAACATAGTAAATTAAACTACATGCGGTTATATAAACTCAGATGAAACTCGATGGGAAAACTCTTCATGCGATGTGATTTTCTTAAGATCCGAAAATAAGATAATATGCCAATGTAGGCATATGTCATTCTACTCAATCATTGATGATTACTTAATAAGAGAATCTTCAAGCATATATTATCTAACTTTCAATAACTGGTATTCTATCATTCCATTCGGATACATGCTTCTTTTGTTCATATTTGGCTTGATATACACTTATAGTATGGACAATAGAGACTACAGAGAATTGAATAAATCTGATGATACACTAGGAAATGAGTTGGTTGATGTTAATTCACTTTCAATCTAGTCTTTAGTTTTCAGAAAGAAAGTTTATTACTCAGGATTCGGGCAGAAATATTCATTTTGCACTTTTTTCAGATTAATTATAATGCAGATACATCCTCTGTTTTAGATAAAATATTCTTTTGATCCCCAACTCCCTAGATTCTATAAGTTCATGTTTCTTTATACAAGAATCATGATTATATTAGGTGTTTCCTTTTACTTTACTAGAAATTACAATGACTATTATGATGTCAAAGATGAGGACGATATATTAATGACTTTGATAAAAATATTCGGAATAGTTTTGGGGGGAGCTCTAATACTTCCACCACTGCCTTATTTTTTATTTTGCTGCTGTAGATCAAGATATTTTCTCATAAGAAATAAAATTAGGCCAGGATCAGACTTTGAAAATGATGGTCCAAAGAATTAGCCAGCAAGCACTAAGGATATTGAAAGATTTACCAATGTTATAATAGATCCGAACTTGCCATTAAAGCTTCTCTTCTTTTTGAATCAAGCTAGTACTGATAAAATATTAAGAGAATATAAAGACAATATGGAGTACAGCTCAGGTGCAGCAACTAAATTAGGAGAGAAGCTATTAGAGTTGGACGTTGATCTGCACATATCAAGGTAACTACCAAATACTGAAAACGAAATCGGAGAATAAACTGCTAGAAAGTTTAATGCAGCCGGAGACCAAACACCTGAAAAATCTGATAGACACTCATCAAAGAGAAATCTAAATGAAGAAAATAATGATCATCTGTAGCAAACTAGTCTAAAGCCAACAGCAATTTCAGCAGGTTTTGAATCTAAAGAAAAATTCATGTCTGTTAATTCTATATCGAGGCGGAAAACCTAAGCTATAAAATTTCAAAGCACTTCTAGTCCGGAGAGAAGAGCGAAAACATAAATAATAGATCATAACGATCTTGATTATGAAATAAGAGAAGATGAGGAATAAAAAGCAGATTTAGACATAAACAAACAGAAAAATCCCCAATTTTAAAAATAAAATTAATTAATTAGAAACGATGATACAAGCCCAGAACAGCATTAGTAATACTTTACTGACAACTATATTAAAGGCATGAATTAAAACTAATCAAACTTCTCAAAACAAAATTTGATGGATGTTTAATAACACTACGAGGATAAAAGCAAATCTGACATTATGATGGATAGCTATATTGGTAGTCTAGAATCCTAAACCTTTTATGACGACAAAAAAGAGTTGGTAGAAAATACAAACTACTGCGGAAGGCTGTTTGGTAATATACTTGCTTTTATAATAAACATGGGAATTTTACTAGTTGTATTCTACTTGTATATCACTGAGAAGTATTACTTAGAGAGTGATCATTATATCTGGGTCTGCATTTTCTTTGCTGCTTAGATTCTTAGTTTCTTTATCCTTGACTTTGTTTACTTGTTCTTCATTAGTGTAACAGTATCTAGCTGTTGTCGCAAAAGTAAGACTTGCAAGGCTAGAATGATGCGAGAATGTTTGAATATTTATGAAGATTATAAATATGTAGTAAATTTTACTGAGACCAAGATCGAGTGAGAATTTTTATATGTGTGATGTATCTAATAATTAAACTCATTACTAATAAAGGCTTTAATAGTTAATTATTAACTAAAGACAATTTAATAAAATCATAATTAATAAATCGATTCAGAAATTTGATTAATTGGAGAATGATTGAATCGGGTACTTTCATTATTTGCCACCAATCTTGAACTGATAGGGAATATTAAAATTTTATATGGGCTTCTATCCAACTTGGGAGTTTATTAATCCTATTGGGGGTATGAAATTTGTGGCTGATCCAGGAGCTCCTATTAATTGCTGCTGATAATCTAAGTTTGCTGGAATCAAGCCTATAGATTGCTATTAAAACTGTTGAGAATTCCTTAATTATAGTTGTTACTATTTTACTGATTAACTGAATTACTGGTGTTGCTGTCTTTGCTAGTATTATTACTTTTATTTAGGGGCATTAAAAACTTAAGCTGTTGACTTTCCGAATTGCTAGGTTTCGAAATCGTGTTATTGCTAAGTTTGCACCCTATTATCAGGTTGGTCTTGATTTCTCGGCCTGACTAGTTGCTATCGTTAAGCAGATCTTTAAGAGCTGCCTTATAGATCCAGTTGCATGAATGCTGAGGTCCTTAACTGTACTAACTGCTCATTTATTACATACTTATGTTTGCTAATTAGTTCTATTTGTTACTTTTGCTGAGCTGATTATTCTGAGTTATACTGAGAGCTGGCTGGTTAGTTTGCTAAAGATGAGCTCTTCTCCTATAGGAAAGCAGGTGATTTGGTCTAGTATAAGACTCGTTCGATTGTGGAACGATGCTTTAATTTGCATTATTCAAGTTCACTCCCAACTGAATATTGGTTTGCATTTACTGTATTTGCTAATTTTGAGGTGATCTCAGCTGCTTCTCCTAAGGATTGTTTATGTTGTAAGGATTAAATTCCTGATACTTGCTCTACTGCTTTTGCTCTCAACTATCTGAGGTCTAATGGTGTTGTGCTCCCAGTAAGTTTGGGTTATTGTCTTGTATCTTAAAGTTCAAATGACTCTTGTGACTTGTGCTATTATTATAACTTTTACAGAATTCCCTCGTTTCCATCGACATCTGATTATTGTTAGCCCTTAGACTGTTTCTATTACCATTCTGCATTGTATTATTGATATTGCTGTTATTAGTTCTTGAGTCTTTTATCTAAACCAGCTGAGATTTACTTCTCTCATTGTTAAGTATTAGATTTTCTCCTAGCCTATTCCTTATCTCCTGGTACAGATTTCCATTAGCTACTATGATTGTTGGAATAGTCTCTGGTTGCTAAATTTTGCTCGATTACAATTAATCCAGCTGCTGAGTGCTCTCTCTTCTCTAGTCCTCTTTACTTATAATCAAGTCCGGTTTCACCTTAAATTAATTTATCCTCTGTGATAGATCTATTGACTTCTTATGCTGCTGTCTTCGCGACCTGTTTTCTTGCAAAATTTATGTTTTATGTTAATCCATTTACCTTTCTTCAGTTTAGTTATAACGGGTTCTCTATATTACGTTTCAATGATCTATTCCTGAAGTCTGATTAATAGTGGGATTAGTTGTTTACAAAGAGATCTGAGCTTAATATAGACTGTTGGAGTTCAGGTTGTCTCTGAGTTCCCATTGATTACTTGTTATATACCTTGAGTCTAGATTCTCCTTGATCATCTTTTTACTATTATGATTCGAGATTTTATTAGAACCCTTACTTATGAGTGATTAAGTCCTATTACTGTTACTAGCTCCCTACCGGTTTCTAGGTTCCTAATTAGCCTGAAAGTCCTGAAGTTTAGCTGCTATTTAGAGCACCCTATCTTGCTGATGATTTGGGCTTTCCTCTTATTTTGCTTGAAAGTATTTTCTGTGGACAGAATATTCGATAAGGTGTTGACGACTACTATTGTTAGTATAATTACTGCATCTATTATTCATCTTGCGGGATTATCCAGTGCTACTACGTGACTATAATTTATTATTGTCCTATTATTGGCTGCTGCTATCCTATGGATGGCTGCTACTATTGTTGCTACTATTTTTGGTTGTTTCCTAAGTTAGTTGAGGTTGCAGATGTACTTGCTGTTCCTCCTGATATGGTTTCTCTTCCTCCTCCACCAATTACTGAATGCTGGACAAAGGATTTTTGCTTATCCTATCTGAGGAGTTCAGCATTTTGGTCTACCTCTGTCCATATTTATGCAAGCTTTGACTCTTTGTTTTAGGAATCCATATTTGATTTTTATTGTTACTGACTAGTTTATACCTATTGAGATCGAGCTAGGTGTGACTGCTAGGTTCTAGGAGGCTAAGCCAGTTATGAAAGGTTTGAGGTTCTTCCGTTAGTGCCGCTTGTACTTGTTCCTGCTATTGTCATAGTATTATTTTCTCTAGCAACTTATCGCCTAGTTTAGCCAACTATGCTATCCCTTTGTTAGCCAAGCTCCCTATAGTACGAAACTAATAATTAAATTAAATTTGTATATACCTGTATCTAGGGCTCCTTTACTGAGATGAAAATCTTGCTTGAAAAAGCCTTTATCAAATTTAGTTGGACCTCTAAGCATATTATGGTCGAATATCTAGAATTTGTTATACTGATTTTAATATTTCTTTGCCATCGTTCCAATCTTTTTCTAAGAATCATTATTTTCCAAATATTTCTATGATCCTCTTTATCCAAAATTTGAGTCATGAATCAAATGCGATCCAGTATAATACTTATTGATTTCCATGATCTCATCTCTTATGCTGAAAATATCTTCCTAGGGTTTATTATCAATTCTAAGTCCAGATAGTCTTTATTGCTAAAGTATTTGTATTGGGTCTGGCTTTAAATTCAAAAATTCTTTAGTCTAAAATCTATTATATTATTACGTCGTGAATCCACTGCTGTAATTAACCTTCATATCTTTGATATCTTTATGAGGAATATAGTCATCTCTCAAATCTTTGGATCATTGCTATTAAGGATTATTATCATTAAGGGGTGATTATCTATGAAGTACAAATTCGTGCCCAATATTATGCAATGCTGAGAAATGGTGTTGCATAGGTGATAATCCTTGATTTCTTTCTGGCGAATGATGATTAGATAGTGAGTTCTAGTATAATTCTTCATTTAATGGCTCGTAGGTTGTTCCAACTTCTATGATAGGAAGTTGATTAATTTACTAGGCTGTAAAATGCTTACTTTGTTTTTAAATCATAGACTAACTATATTTATTGTAGTTTCCATTTTAGGCCAACACAGAGGTAACAATAGTTTTATTCTATAGAACACTAGGACTAGGGTTATTCTCAGCCATTTTGCTTTGTCGTTGAGAGTCTAATTATTTACTGATAGTCGATTAAGTCTAGATTATAGTTGGCTTCTCCTTTTCAGGTTCTTCTTCGTATACAGCATTCTTTTTATTACTCAAGCAAAATACCCTTTTTCTGAGCTTGTAGTGATATTATTTACGAATTTATAAGTTTTCATCATATAGAGGAGGCTTTTATGGCTTTCTTACAGGATACGTTTAAGCTTTACAATATTTCGCTGTTAACTAATTTACAATATTGTCCTTATTTTTGGTAAAATTCTTGAACTGAATATGTTTATTTTGAAAAACTTGTTTCACAAATGGATAAATTTTCTAATAGTTATTGAGCTCGTCAAATAGTTTAACTACTGATCGAATATGATAAGATTACTCTAGATTGTTAGATACTAAGTTCCTTTTCTTTTTCAGTTTCTAAGGATCTTCATTAGTTTGATGCTATTCTTCTTTACTCTTTGTGTCGTAAAACAATTTCTCAATATTGCTCTTGCTAGTATTAGACATTCCACTTAAGCATTATTTAAGATGACCACTGTAAAAAGCGAAACAGTTCATTTGCTATTACTAGTTGAAAATGTCTTTCGATTGTTAGTTAACCATAGATTTCATCATTCCATTCATCTTTGAATTGATTCTCTCAGCTTATTTAGCCCAGAACTCATCATTTCTTTTATTCACTTCCTAGAGAGATTAAGGTTCCTCTTCATTTTCTTCAGTCATATCCTCATTCTCACCTTCCTCATCATCCTCTTCCAAATATTCTTATTGATTCTCTTCTTCATCATTTTTGTTTTACTCATCATTATCTTCATATGGACTTTTCTCTCTTTCATAGCTCAAGTTCTCAATTATTTATATATTGGTAATATCTCCATCCTCATTAATCCTGTCAAATTTCGATTCCTCAAGTTCTTCAACCTCCTCAAGTTCATTTTAATTGACTTAGAATTATTCAAATTAATTATCTTCTTCAAGTCTTTGAAACAACTCCTCTTCTTCCGAGTTCAACTCATAGTCCTCTTCCTCTCCATCTTCATTGATTTGAGATTCTCCATCTTACTAATCACAGTCTTCTTCACATTCATCTCCATCTATGTAGTCATTTTCAAAGTCTCTCTCATCAGTATCTTATTGAGACTCCTCCTCTATTATCTCTTTGTGAATGTTAATAACAGCCATCGCAGATTTTTCGAATCGATTATTTTATTCTGAGTCTTAAATTTATTCACCATTTCTATTTTTCCCAATTCTTGCAAAATCTATATCTTCTTCAGTGAGGATATCTCTGAACTCTTGGAAAAAATCTTTATCCTCCTCGGTTGTTATTAATTAATTTTTCTCGGGAGAGTCTTTATCAATAATTGCACTGTCCTAATTCATTAATTATACTTTATATTCCATCAATAATTTTACTATTTCAATTTTATTTCTAGGGAAATCTCTATAATTACGAGTGGGGTTTTGGGGTTTTGGGGTTTTGGGG